GGGCAAAAGCAGGTAGCAAAGAAACGTGGCTAAGTGAATGTTTTTTGCCTTTTTGTCAGATTAAGAATCGACTGACAAGAAACTTCCTAAAGGAGGGATACATGGAGAAGACTGGTCCCAAGGTAAGCCGCTGTGGGAGAAAATAATCTAACAGGGACCTGCCAGAGAGTCACTGACCTTCCCTACTTCAATGTTTTTCTCCTGCTGTTTCCCCATTCCCCCCTGACTCTTTAGACACCCGTGGGAACAGTGTGTGTGCACCAAGGGAGGGGAGAATAAAAGGAAGGGGAAGGACACATGTGAAAGTAGATGGAGCCAGAGCTTTCTCCCAGAGCAACAGATCTCTGCATGTGTCTGTGTGTGCGTGACCTTACAGGTATTTAGCGTCTAGATTTCTCCTGTCTCAACTCTGGGGTCCTTCACAGAAGTCCAGGAATTGGGGACAGCAGTTGGGACTGAAAAACCCCATACTGATCCCCACTCTCAGCTCAGCAAGGGCGAGAAGGAGGTTGTTGTTGAGGCAGGGGCTCGGTTCAAGTGGTTGGGATGAATTTTGGGTATCCATTCGCACCGCTCGCAGCAGAGGGCACTGTCCCCTCACATATGTCACCTCTTCCCTTCACAGCAGAGAGAGGCTTTTAAGAAGCGCTGGTTCACGTTGGATCACCGCAGGCTCATGTACTTCAAGGACCCTTTGGTGAGGGGGAGATCTGACCTCTGGCAGCTGCAAGCATCGGTGCTGAGGGCAGGGTCAAAGTGCAACCAGAGTCTTTGCTCTGCAGTAAGGGAGGCTTGCAGGGTCTCCGGCTGCTCTGGAGGGACTCCAGGCCTTTCCCTTTCCATCCCACCTAGTTCATTGCATGCTTTCTCTGTTTCACTGCCTGTAAATAATGGGAACGGGGAGGGCCGCGGTGTGAAGGTGGTGATGGGGAGGAGATTGTCATGGGAGGTGACATGGAGAGCCAGGAGCAGCAGTTCCTCTCTCAGATCTCTCCAGATCTATGCTCTTAAATTTTCCTTTCTGCTGCTGCTTTCCGAAACCCCTGACCACCTTCAGATCCTTTTGCTGCTAAATCTCTGGTTCCTCACCTACTCTCCTCCTGTCCTTAGGTGCACTGCTATTATTCCCTGGTTCTTCTGGGATTCCGTAAATTCCTCTCTTTCCTTCCTGATGTGCAGGATGCATTTGCTAAGGGTGAGGTGTTTGTGGGCAGCAGAGAGAACGGATATAGCGTCCAGAAGGGATTGCCTTCGGGGACACAGGGCAACTTCTCTTGGCACCATGGCCTCACCATTGTCACCCCTGACCGGGAATACCTCTTCACCTGTGAGACGGAGACTGACCAGCTGGACTGGATCGCAGCCTTCACTAGTGTCATCAACCAGGCCATGACCCCGCAGGAGTATGCTAGTAAGTGCCTGGATCCTCTTTCCTTCCCCTCCTGCCACCCTGGGTCAGGGTATTGCCCTAATGCACAGCCTTTTTCCTTCACTACAGTTGAAGCCTACTTCAAGTTTAAATCCTAGGAAGCCACACAGGAACGTCGCTATGACTCGATTCTATCTGGCCTTTTTGGGTGGGCTGTCAGGAGAGGAGAGGAGGTCGACATCAGAGAAACACAGTGCTCTTGAAGCACCTTTTGAAGCACTTTTTTTCCCCATAGACAGTCCACTTTGCTCTGAGGGCCCAATTAAGCTGCTTCCTTTTGCATGCAAGACTTTGTGAGTCTGACCCCTCAGTGCAACCTGTCACTGTTAAATTACTGTGATCTGACTGGATGTTGACAGGCCTTGCCTGTCAATCAGGCCTGGAAACTTTGGCACTTGCTTTGTTGGACATGGGATGACCTAGGATCACTCCTGCATGAAACTGCAGACAGCTACCTACGTTACGCGAGAGAACAGATACCTGGAGCTACACCCTGGTGTGTTGCAGGAGCTGCTGAACTAGGAGGGACTGTTCCTGTACAAGAAATGGCTTCTCTGCTGGTGACAGAGATGTGGAGCATCTAGATATTTGATCAGTTAGAGCTGTGGTTGAGAAAGGTCACTTAAAAGATGTAATCTAACAACCAAATGTGAGGCCTGTTTCCTCTTGCTGTGTATGGGTTTGAAGCTTCTTCAGACCGCATTGTGTGGAGACCTTCCTCCGATCGCTACAGAGGTTAAGAGATCCACTCAAAACCGACGCGTGGGTACGCAGGCGTGCGTGTGGGTAATGCGCGTGTGCGCGCGCGCACGTAACAAAACGTGGTGGGGTGCGGAATACTGCCCGGGGGAAGATAGTGTGAGGGATATTCATGTCTCTGAAGTTCAGCTGTCAAATTTGGGTCTCTCGTCAAACCAATGGAGAGAGGTTGGGTCCTGCAGACGGCAGCTTATAGCGTGTCTGTTACAGAGTTCAGACTCTGTCCTCTTTGCTAGTGCCTAGGGGTTGATGTCTGTAGGTAGTCATACATGGATCTCTGCTCCCTCATTCTCTGTAGGGCACTTGTAGGGCACTTTCATTCTGCCCTATACATTTGTATTGTATATCACATACACACATAATTTTATGCAGTAATATAACAGGGAAGTCTGCATGTTCATGTCCTTCTAGTAACAGTCAGCCCTAACCACTAAATGAACCCATGATTCATATCTTAAAGATCATCTCTTAAAGCTGTCCTGGGAGAGCTGTGTTTCACATGCTGGAAGGACCAGCTGAGTTCTGCTGCTGATTCTGGTATCTGATGTGTCCGCAGTTTTATGCAGGCAGTGTGAGAGTAGGCTTCTCGTGCGTTAAGGGGAACTAACTGGAATTAATGAGGCAACCAGCATTTTAAATAGCTCCTAAAGAATTGAATTAAAAAATCCCATTGTAATTTATTTTCACTTGCTAAACCAGCTGAGCTGCTAACTGCTAAGGTATGAGGTCATTTCTTGCAAAAAGCACAATCAGAGCAAAGAGCCATGTCCATTGCATTTCCTGGGGCATGTGGAATGTGAATCTTCCCATCAGAGCCAAGTGGGAAAAGTCATGGTCCCCCTACTGATTCTCTGGGGATCCCTCTCTCTGCTGAGAGCACCACAACCTGCTGGGATCATTGACTTCCTGGAGCAAAGGCAGCATCACTCAGCCTGCTGCCATGGCACGATGGAACTTTCCACCCAAAAATGCATTTTCACTGCAGTTTGCTGACCTCTCCCAGTTTAGAGCACGACTGTCCTAAAAAATGAAGGCTATTGCAGAAGCCTGTGTTCCCAAACAAAGTGCCTTTCAGATCTGTTAACATGAAATGGGGCAGTCCATAAAAAAAAAAAGCAGAAACAACCTGCACATTCAGTTCTCTGTGGAGAAGAGTAGAGAGCGTGACCCGGACATGCCAACAGCTGGGACAGAGAACACAGAGGGAGGCGCTGAAGTTCCCTCCATCCATGCCAGATGTGCCCTATCCCATTCCTGTGGCATTGCATGCAGCACATTGTTCGGGAAGGTATTTGGGTCCTACTGCAGCGAGGGCAGCACCGGTGGGATGCTTCCTTCCCCCGGTTGCTGCTGCATTATCATCACTGCTGGCGGAGCGTGCAGGCATTTGTCTCGGCCACAACGATGCTAATACACTGATGAGAAAAGATCATGGCTGGAGCGGCCTGAAAACCCCTGTGATGGCAGAGCGCATTTAGTACTGGTGCATCTGTCTCTGCTCTGCAAATTCTGTCCTACCGTGTCTGCTCCGTAAGACAAATGATGCTCGGATGTGGGCAAAGAAAGTGGGGTAGCGTTGGGCACAGTTTTGGGGACATAGGTGTCGTGCCGTGATGCTCCACTAGACGGCGATGGTGCCTACCTAACGGGCTTCTGCTCCCTGCTCTGAGGGGGGGCAGCAGGTCCTGGGGGTTACAGGGAAAGCTTAGAGAAAAGCTTGGAGAAGGAGGATGGACTTTGGGGAGAGGGAGGAAAGAGTAGGTCTAAAATATCCAGCCCTTTGTGTCTCTAGGAGCTTGCTGCTGACTGGGGGACCAGGTGGTCGTAGAAAATGGGAGATGCCCTACCACCAGGTGGGCTTGCTTGCAAACTGGAGGCTGCATCCATTGCCTACACCCCAAGGGGCCCTGATGTCCTTGGACGGGAGTGGGGGACAGGCCCTCTGAGCCCGGCTTGTTAAGGGCCAAGGAGGGCGGTGTGGCAGCTCCCTGCTCATTGCGCTTTCGGGGCTGGCCCTCGCTTCCCTTCTAAAGCCACAGCGTGATGCCTTCCCCCACATTAGGGAGTGTTTTGTCTTTCAGCTCTATCCTCTCAACTGTGCAAGGGGAAATGGGGAAAAGAAAGGGAAACGAGATCAAGAAGGAAGAGGGAGCAGGAGGAAGGTGCAGGAAGACACGGGGGAAGAAAGAGCGTGTCTGCGAGAAAGAGGAGGGAGCCACAGGGCTCCTCAGCAGGTGGCTAAAAGCCCAGTATAAACTGGGACTGCGTTCGCACCGGTGTGTGAAGCTGTGAGTCAGGCACATTCCTCTGTGCCGTGGGCAAGGCAACTCTCCAGGGGGGCAGAGCCCACCTCTCCAGAGTCTGTTGAGCTGAGAGGGGACAGACTTGGGAGGAGAAATCCTCTTGTCCACCGGGTCTGCTGGTTTCTGTGGGGCCAGCGAATGCCAGAGAAGCAACAGATGCGGAGCTGGTGAAGAGCCGAGACATTTCCTCCCGACTGGCAGAGGTTGTTTGGCAACTGTTGGTCTTGAAGAGGAGGGCAGTGTCCGTTTCTCAGCTCTTTGATGGTTAATGGACCGAGCGTGTGATGGACCAGATCGGCAAAGCGGACTGGGCAGCTGGAGGTGAGGAATAGACTTCTCTGGAGTACCCTATGTCTGATGAACTCTCGCCATTCTTCTGCATTCCTGTTAAGGCTAGACGTGTCCCATACAGCGAGGGGGGAAGGCAGGGGGAGGAACTGGTCTCTGACAGTCTGTCTTGCTCTTGCTCACCCTACCCAAAGATGTCTTGTGATCCTTCCTTCACCAGCATGAGGCCTGGAGAGGATCCCGAGGGTGGCAGCTTCTTGGAGGAAAGCAGCGGTGGGGGTGATGACAATAGTGTCCTGGGAGGGGACAGCCTGGTCACAGGGCCGCTGGGTGCAGTGCTGCTGGTCATGTGCCTCACTGGGATGGCGGGGAACATCTACACGGTGGTGGTAGCCTCCGGCAGGGTGGCGGGCCACTCAGCAGGCTCCTTGGGGGTCTACGTGATCAACCTTGCCCTGGCTGACCTCCTGTACCTCTCCACCATCCCCTTCGTGGTCTGCACGTATTTCGCCCATGACTGGTTCTTTGGGGATGTGGGCTGCAGGCTTTTGCTCAGTCTGGACCTCCTCACCATGCACGCCAGCATCTTCCTCCTGACCGCCATGAGCCTGGAGAGGTACTGGGCGGTGGCCAGGCCGCTGCGGGCCAGGCGGGCCAGCAACACTTACCGCAAACTCGCCAGCACTGTCCTCTGGCTCCTCTCGCTCCTGCTTACGGCCCCCATGATGGTGATGACCCAGCTGCGGGAGGAGGATGGCCCCCACAAGCGCATCTGCATCCCCACCTGGACACCAGCAGCCTTCCGGCTCTACCTGACGGTGCTCTTTGCCACCAGCATCCTGGCACCCGGCGTGGTGCTGGGTGTTGTCTACACCCGCCTGGCCCGGGCGTACCGGTCCTCTGCCTGGGGCCCGGGGCCGGGCCCCTGCCCGGCAGCTCTTCTCCAGGATCTCCGCCATTGTAGTGGCCTACTGGGCCTGCTTCCTCCCCTTCTGGGCCTGGCAGCTGGCAGGGCTGTACTGGGGCAGGGGGCTGGGCATCAGCCCCACCACCCAGGCCTACCTCAACTTCGGTGTCACCTGCCTGGCCTACGGCAACAGCTGCATCAACCCCTTCCTCTACACCCTGCTCGCTGGCAGCTACCGCCGGCGCCCTGGCCGCAGCGGGATGGGCATGGCACAGCCCCGGGCACTCTTCCAGGAGGCTGCAGGGGGCACAGTGGGAGGCCACAGCATCCCCCTGGCTTTTGGGGAGTTGTCAGGGTCTGTGGGGGGAAGTGAGGGGTGAGCAGTACCCCAGGTTAGGAATAGCTTCCAGCCTTTGGCTGTTGTTGAGTCAAGAAATAAAAGTGCAACACCTTCCATGCTGGCGTGCAGTATCTTCCATCGTTGTTGTGGTTCCTTCCCCTTCATGCCTTCCCCTTTGCAAAGCCACTCACTCTCTTCAGCAGGGGAGAGAACGCTTGTCTCCGGGATCCCGACTCCATCCTCAGCTCCTTTAGTCCTCGCACGCCAGCCTCCACCTTGCGCAAGGCTGAGGAGTGGGTGGAAGGGAGCAATCAGCCTCCATACATCTAAATTATACAGCTGGGGAACCCTCACCACCCTCACCTCCTCACTAGCAACAGGCTGAGCCATAACAAAGTCAGGACAACAGTGAGTCACAGATTTCACAGGACCAGTGAGTCACTCCAAGAAGCGGCCACACTAGCAGGAGACCTGAATAAGGTTCATCCTCTTGTGGTAAAACTTACACTCAAGCTTTCTTCCCCGTCCTCCACAAAGAAATCTTTGAAGAGTCTCTCTAAAAAAAAGACTCCCAAGCGCAGTTAAGAGACATTATGAGATCGCCCCAAAGTACAGCTCAGGGAGGTCAGCACATTTGCTCAGCTTTCAAGATCAGCCCAGCAGAGGAAGCTGCAAGGAGAGAGCTCCACTATGTGTCCATTATCACAACTCATGGAGGGGGCCCTCACCAGCACCATGTCCCTGCTGTGGTTAAAGAAATCTTCAACTCTCTAGCCTACCAAATGTACCCCAGTCTGGCAGATTCTGTCAACACCCCTGCATAAATTGGGCCAGGTCTCTTGCCCTGGGGCCATCTAGCCTAGCATGGCTCACTTCCATACAGCTAAACACTCTTCTCATCCCCAGAAAGGATGGCCTCAGCTGTATCATCCTATAGCCGTGCTGTTCCCTAGCCATGCCCACACACAGGTTGGCAACGTGAGATGCCATGTTTACTGTTATAGGTGTAGCCCTAAAGAGCGTGATGTGATCACCCAGAGAAGACTAGCTTTGGGCAACACAAGGCTTCAAGAGAGATCTAGCTGTAGAGCTTCAAGTTGCTTGTACACCCCAAGTGTTCCTGCCCCCCAGCTCAAAAGCTCATCTTGAGCCCTTGTCTCCAAATGGCTCCAGGACAGCTGGTGGCTGACAACTTGGATAACAACCCTCAGTCTTGTGAGGACTGTGCCATAACATCAAACACATGTCATCATTGCAGTCTCCTCAGAGGGTGGACTCAGATTAGACTAAATACTCAGGCTCATTTGGGTTAACTGAAGGGGTAACAAAAACACAGTGGACACATCCTTAGCATGCTACACCCCAGCTGGGCATCACTACCTCTCCCAGCTCCAGACAGACCAGGCAAGGAACATGGGGCAGAATAAAACCAGGACCCTCCAGGTTACTTCCCTCAGGTGCCATATGAACTATGGCCCACCAGTATTCATGCTTCTGCAGTTAGTTGTTGGAAGAAAGGATTCAGGTGAGAAGCCCACTGCACAATCCACCAGATCCAGCATGGTGTTCTTTTCTACTCCTGTCCCTGTGCAACTGCAAGAGGTTCCACACAGGAGAGCTGAGTCATAAGCAGAAGTATCCCCCCAAAGAGGGGTGCAGGACAAAACTAGCACAACCAAGGACTTCCACCTCCCTCCATGCCCCACTAGGTTTACCTAGCACAGCAACTCAAGGCTGTCTGAGACCAGCCAGGGATGCTTGGGTTTGGGACAAACAGATTTCATCAACCCATTTTACTCAGGCATACCAAGTTGCCAGTCTAGACCCCAAAAGTGGGTACTTTGCCTAAGGGACTCTTCCACTCTCGCCTCTAGTCACATCTAGCCCCAGCGTTTCCTCCTGAGACTCTCCTTGGGCTTTCCACTTTCTGCCTTCCCATGCTTTTACCTCTCATCCTCCTCTCCATCCATCACTTTAAGGGCCAAAGCTGGCACAATCCCACACACGGTACTCCAGCAGATTTGGCTACCCTCCTCCCTAGCAAGGTGACCAACCCACACAGACTTGCAGTATGGAACAGATTAGATTGAGACCAGGTAGACCAAAGCTCTTATTTATTGATCACTTCTTCTGGATCTTTGATATGGAGGTGTCAGAGGAAGTTATTCCCAGCTGATGGACTGGAGTGTGAAGTCTCCTTGTGTATCAAAGTAGTCAAAGACAGGGATAGCAAGCCGGTTAGGGAATGTGAACTGGTGGCCTGGCACATGGACTGTCAGATCATTTTGGTTGACGACGAAAGTGACCTGCAAGACAAACGGAAATGTTGGAGAAAGTTTCTGCCAAGATTCCCTCAAGCCTTTCCCCTCCACTGTGCCACCCTCCACTTTGCACAACAGATGCGCAGCAGCATAACTTGCTCTCCAGCAGCAGGAGTGTTATCCTGGTCTCCCAGGAGATGTCTATTCCCTGCTCAGTTCAACAGTAACATCCCTTTGAGCAAGTGGTCTAGCATGTCTGATCCCCACCCTCCATCGCTGCTCAGAGCCCTGGAGAGTGGCACTGGCCAAGCAGAAGCCGCCAGCCACCTCCTGTACAGACAGCTCCAACACAGCCCAAGCAGTTGGGTGTCCCGTGCCAAACACCCTCCCTTCACCAGAGAGCGCATCCCAGGCCTCACCTCCGCTGTGCCCCCCTTCTGGAAAGGGAAGACACTCTCCCTCTGCTCTGCACCCCACTCTTCCACCTTCTTTGAGTTACACACAATGGTGTTCACATCACCATGAGCATCAAAACGGGGGTTGAAGTGAAGCCCAAGGTGGGAAGCGTCCTTCCCCAGATTCATCACAAAGCTGCAGAGGAAGAAGACATCAATGCTGTGGTAGGACATTGCTCGTTACCGTGAGTGACTCTGGGTCTGCTACTTCAAGCCCAGCTGAGGGTGCCCAAAGAGAAACCCCTTACCGAATTGCACAGCTTCCCCAAAAAGAGGGGTACACTCCTCTGCTGTGGCAATAGGTCCCATAGTGCCATCCCTGAGAGAGATGGTGCTTAGTTTCCACGCAGCTTTGAACAGGAGAAAAGTTCAGCGCTTAGAGCCCTGAACAGGGAGTTATCCTGCAGCCCAACCAGCTCCCCAAGGAGTCAGCTGCTTGCCACAGGTTTCCTTTTAGCCCCAAACAGTTAGCTGGTGCTGCACCCTGCCTGACAGCCACTGCCTTCTCCCCATCCTGCAGGCAGCTGAAATAATTACCATGTCATCAGCTGTCCCAAAGCATCTGCTGTGGCAGTGGGAGGAAGCAGCTTCCTAGCCCAGTGTCCACCTTGCCTCCAGGTCTCTTACTCAGATGAGAGGAGGCATATTATTTGGCAAGAGAAAGCCCAGGAGGCTTCACTCCGATGCTATCAAACTTCAAAGGCACAGTGAAGAGCTGGGACATGTTTCCTGGAACACCACTAGTGCTGGTACAGCGGCTACGGGCTCCACCTTACCCACCAAGAGGCCCCACCAGCCACAGACTGACACAAGGGTTGGGGACTGCTGCAGAGGCTTCCCTGGGGGACCCAGCCACCCTGATCCTGCAGTTAGGAGCACACTTTCACTTATTCCCACCTGCCCAATCTCATCTTCCCCCCCATAGCACCAGACAGGCACGGGGTGAAAGCAAACTTCAACAGACCAACATGCAGCCTTCCCATTTGCACCATTAGCTGGAGCTGGGGCTCGGAGCATCCAAGAGCTCCCAGGTCCTTGGGCTACAATCACCTCCTGCCCAGTGAAGCAAGGCACTGTAATGGTGTCTGCTCCTGGGCCATCTTGGTGCAGGGGACAGGATGTGGCTGTGGTCTCAACCCAAATCTCAGTACAGGCACAGCTTCCCTTTCCTTTACCCTGCATGAGAGAGGATGCAGCCGCTGCCAGTGCTCGCTCCACATCTGCTTTGGCTTAGGCCCTTGGCAGCAGCCTTTGTCTGCAAAGTGCATTAGACAATGACTCACTGGGAAGCACTGCTGGTGTTAACCCCTTCCGAAGCTGCCCCTCTCCCACCCAAGGGAGGGATTCCTTCTATCCCCTACCAGCAGAAGACAACTCGGTGCAGTGCCTGGGCAGCACAGCACAACTTACCTCTTGGCATTCGGTGAAATTTTCCCCCTGACAGTAAGGCGCTGGCCAGGTTTGAGACCCAAGTTGGTGCACACTGGTCCCTGGGGAATGCAGAGGTGGAGATGTTAGCTCAGTACCTGCTGGCTCACCTGCTCTGACTTGGCAGCTCTCCCTGCTGCCTTGTGAGACTTGTGTATTGCTTTGGATCGCTGGAGAGACAGGGAAGCTCCCTTCCCCTAGGGTATTGCACCAGGGACATCCCAGAAAAGTTACTCCAGTCACATGGGATACGTGCCCAATTTCCCAACCTTTCTCCTACTGCTCTCATCAACATACCTGTATTTCACAGCAGTGAAGTGTCAGTACCTGCAAGCTCCCATCACACCCACCCCATCCCAAACACACCCATGTGCCTTGTGGGTCTCACATCCAACACAAGCCTGGCTGTGCAGGGATAGAGCCTCCACCCCCTCCCCCCTGGCTTAGGACTTCAAGTCTTGCCTAGGTCCAAGGGCTCAGACACTTTGCTCCCCAGCTCCCAAGGGCTTGGTGTGGGGTCTTTTGTATGCTCAGCATTTTTGAGAATCCATGCACACACACCTTTTCTCACCTTCTCTCTAAGGGAGCTAAAATACCCCGGTAAACCCCTATGTATGCATTTTCTATCACAGAGGCAAGGCCCCAGGAATACTAAGAATCTTGCCCACATCTCACTTTAATAAGTCTGCACTTTGGACACTTCTTGATTAATAACCCTCAGTCTAATGAAAGATAAGTTAATCAGAGAAATACAATCACTCTCCTGACACAAGCATCTCCCTGCCTGTCCTTCACACTCACAGAAGGATGCTTCTGTATAGCACATTTCCTTACAAGAAAGAGAGAGAGAATGATTCAGTGACTCAGGAAAACTTCAGCCAGGAAGCAAGCAGCAA